GTTTAAGGATGTTTTACTTGGTTCGTTTTCAATCACAGACCAGACTTACACAGACCAGGCCAAACCATACTAGATTTAAACAGACCAGACCAAACTTCTATAGTTATAAAATACATAGAGACCAGACATTTATCAGACAGTTCAGACCAAACCAGACCAAACATAAATAGATCAGACCAGCAAATTACAATCCAAGGAAAAACAATATAATTCTGATCTAGTTTGATTTGGTCTGGGACCGAAAACAATTCAAAAAAAATCATTAATTAATTGAACTAAACGAATCTATAATACTTTAAAAATGGATTTCGAAGCATCAATATTTATAATGCTTCCTGGTTGAATTTGTTTTAGTCTCCATAACTCCATGGCAAACATTCCCAAAAACTAAAATTAGCATCTGTATTAATTTTAATAATGAAATAATTTGTATGTAAAATATGAAAAACCAAACATCATGTGTTGATGTTCCTTTATTTTTTTCAGAGATGCTTAGAAAGATTTTTCAGAGATGCTTAGAAAGATTGATAATTTGATATTCCTCCCGATTCCTTGTTATTCAAAGTAGGGAAAACTCCTCAAATAGAATCAAAATATACTCGATCACATTCTAAAAGTGGGATATGATGTTTAAAATTTTATAGATAGAATTTTGTATTTGTGATTGGACAAAAATATTCTTATAGGGTTTGATTGGAGCATTGTTCCGCGAAACCGACGGACCACTAATAAATTGACCTGATATGTATAGAAAACTAGAGGACAATTAATTATATTAACTAAATTATATTTAGGGTAGATATGTAATGTTTAATCATCATTAAGGGAAATAAAAACATGGAGTCTTATTTAATTGATATAGTATATGAGTCTGGACCCCACGACCCACACACTCATAGAAGACAAATATCACAAGACACCAGTGTACCCCTCGGCTCTTCCTCTTGGCCAGACGAGCCCCCTCGTACAGATGAGACCCAAAAGCTAAAGATCAGACGAATGGAACGACAATGGTCATCTCGGTCTGGCACCCTCATCCTGGCCACCTCGCCCAGGACTTCTGGCAAGTAGTTTCCACTTTATACTTAGCACATTGTAATTGGGCCTCCCATGGCCAAGGTCTGAGAGCCCAACCCACATTTTCTATGCAAATACTCTCATTGGGGTGTTAAAAACATTGAATGCAAAGAATTTTCTTTCTCTAACTTTCACTTCCCTCTAGATCTATAGTCTATCATTAAGTTAGAGAAAATTAATTTCTATGTTCTAGTTCTATATCAAACAATTATATCTTCAAATTAAAAGGAAGAAACCCTAAAACTAATGTTTTTTCTTGTTGGTGTGCGTGAACAGTTTGAAGCTTCATTTTGCATCATCATCGGTTCTTTAATTCCTAATATATCTAGACTACTTAATTAATAATACATGCCCTCAATTGTTTGGTAAGGCCATCTATTGTTATTTTCAAAATTTAGCTAAGTGCCCAAAAATTGAATGATGGAAGCTTAGAGCATCTCCAGTGGGGAGGTGGATTGCCAAAAAATGTCATCCACCTCACCCAATGGAACCAATGTGCTCTCCAATGCAAAACCATAAAAATGAGGTTTATCCTAGGTGGCAATGACCAAGGTCCAAGAGGAGGTCTACATTGGGACCTTGGGTCTCACCCCCTCTCTCCTACAAGTTGCTTCCCATGTGTTTTGGACTTGCAATTTGTTTAGCATTGGAGACCTATTAGAATGGACTCTCTCACTTTAAGATGGACTCTTTCCATTTAATTGCCACATCATCTCCAATGCACCCATTGCATTGGAGTTGCTCTTAGAGCATCTCTAATGCTCATGATGGATTGGTGGTGAGGTGTCAAAAAATGGATCGGAGAGGGTATATTGATTTTGTGGGCCATGATTAATTTAATGGAGAGGGTCTATTCACAGCAACTCCCATGCGGAAGGCAAATCAATTCAAACATAAATCAATTATTTCAAAATCAACATTGTAGGAGAGAGATGGGTGAGATGGAAGGTCCCAATGTAGACATCCTCTTGGATCTTGGAAATTGCCAACTAGGATGGACTTAATTTTTTTTCTTCTTGCATTGAAGGGTACATCTTCTCATAGGGGTCCATTGGGTGAGGTGGATGACATTGTTTTTGGCAATCCACCTCCCCATTGGAGATGTCCTTATAAGATGCCATGCAACTTTAAAATCACATGCATTTCTCATTTAACAAACTTATAAAACCCATAAATTGCAAAGTGAATGATCACTGCATTGTACATTTTATTTCCATGAGACATAACATCATCATCGTCCAATTAATTTTGTGGTCCCGGTTCCAAAGACAAAATCTAGGCCCCCACATTAATATAAAAAATAAAAAGAAATTTCAATCACTTGAGTAATTCATTATCTCATAATGTAATCTAGGCCCCCACATTATTTCGTTAAATAATGTAATAAAAATTTCTAAAAGTTACTTAATAGGTAATTCAAAGCAACACAAGTCATATTTAAGCAATTTGAGTAAAAAAGCACTAAAAGGATCAACAAAATATGATGGAACTATTGGACTTTTCTTCCTTAATCACTATATTTACTACCGATTAGTATTATATAATACTAATAAATCTTTAAAAACTCGGGGGACCATAAATCCGGGCCCTGTTTAAAAGAATCTATCGAACATCTTCAAAAACTTCTTTGCATAACATTCTCATACTTCAATGTATGAAAAAGTACATTATAGATCGAATACACGTCATTACGCATTATATTATATTATATTATATATATTACTCCCTTTGTAACAAAAAAATCTTCCCACTTTCCTTTTTCGTCCGTAACAAAAAAATCTCCCCACTTCTAAATCTTCTCATCATACCCTCAATAATTCTAAAAATGATACACTATTACAACTACTTTTTTTTGGATTTATCCTACATTCCATCACATCATTCCACTAACTTCCCATAATACCCTCAATAATTCATATCATCTTTCACTATTCTTAATCTACCTACTTTTGAAATGACAAGATTTTTAAGTTACAGAGGTAGTATATGCATTGCAATAATTCTAGAAGTAATATATTGATGTATTATATAATAATATTTTTACATAGCAGCTTAGTATAGATTATCAATTTATGCATGTAGCCATAACTTTTGGATCCTGATTTTTTATTATTTAAATTAATGTAAACCTATTCAGTACATGACGACAGCTAGGGTTTGCAAGTCCGCCGCATAAGGTGTGCGGCTGCTTTTCTCCCCTTTGTCGTATGTGCCGCTGCCGCTGAAGACTTGTCATTGTGAGAAGGCTGGTGAATTCCACAGGCCGGTGATAATCTTAGTCTGATTTCCTTCCCGGTATATCCGACATTTTTGTTCCCTTCGGTTGTGGAGTGGTTATGTCCCCGCCAACTTTGTCTAGTCGGGTGTGGTGACTGCTTAGATCTCACCGAACTCCATCGAAGCGGGAAAAACATAATATTTGAAGTGTTAGGATGTTGTAATAAGGTGACTTATTAGGATGCTGTAATAAGGTCACATCTTGATTTCTCGTTGTTTGATTTACATACATCCACATGTTAAAATCCTTTGTATTTAGCTTGAGAAGACAAGATGTTGAATTCCAACATTTAAAATCCTTCGTATAAGTTGTTCCTTCGTTAGCAGCGGCAATGACTAAGGCGGCACACGAACGAGTTGCAGATCGATGACCGAGTAGACTTGCGACGGAGGCGCAGGCCGCGCGGCGTGGCATTTGTGCAGGGCAGGTTTCATAGCTCTATTCCATCAGTGAAAATTTTCAAGTTTTTTCTTGTCCGGATTCATTCCGTGGGTTTTGTCCGGCTGATTCTGGCCAAGTATTTTAGCTGTGGTGTATTGGTGTTGGTTGAGAGTCTTGATTGGCCTTTCGATTGAAGGAGGTGAGAGCTTGATGGATGTTCCTTTAGTGGAGGCTGGTCAAACCGCTACTCTCTTGCCAGTGGCTTGTCAAACTGGCTTATGTTATTTTTCTGTTTATTCATCAGTTTTGAACTGTGTTTTGTCTTTTCATTCCCTTTCTAGTAGCAGGAACAACATTGTTGTGCTTAGAGTATACCACATTGCGGGGTTAGCGAGATGGGCCGCTAGTAATCGTGTCTCCAGCTCTGAGTCTCACCCTAGTGTAGCCTTTGATATGACGATTTTGTACCCGGTCTTCGACATTATTAATGATTAAGTTATCTGTTTCCAAAAAAAGTTGTTCCTTCGTGTCTAGCTTGAGATTTCCGCCATTTAACATTGGGCTTTTCATTATGGCAGATGGATTGAACACTTTTTTAACCTAGGGAACTTCATCTCATCAATTCTGTACAAATTACTCACCTGAAAATAGTTGTGTTGTCTTCGATTTGAAGACAAAATAAAAAGAAATAGAGGCTTTTTAAGAATAGTTCTTCTACACGTGAGGTCTGAGACCAAATAGTTTGAAGGATTGAATAGTTTTCTCATGAACTAGGACACTGGGAGCGAAATTTTGATTTATGTTTTATAAAAAACCATCAATAAAAAACATTATTTTGTACTTTTTTACAGATTTTTCTACATTTTAAATGTTTACGTTTAGTTTTGAGTTATGTCTTTCTAAAGTTTCTATACATCTTTAACTCTTTTTTTATTTAAAAATAAAAAATAAAATATCTTTATTTATTTTTTGAAATTTAAGTCACAGGTTTAATTTACGTTTTTTTCATTTTTTTTTAGAAAGTTTGTATTTTTTTACTTTTTTATGATTTTATATTTATATATTTCGCTTTATTCATTATTTTTTTAAATTCGATTTTGTAAATTTTGTACTCCATTTTTTTTAAAAAATAACATTACAAAACTTGTATTTTACATTTCTTTTTCGATTATTTTAGTTTTTTTTTTTACATTTTATATACATTCGTAAAAAAATATCTATAAAAATAACAAAATTAAGTAATTCTGCGAGCTATTTTTTTTATCCCGGAAGACAAACCACCAAAATTAGTGAGGCAAATGTCGGGAGTCATATGCCGTTATTTTATTGATAAGCATGTTGAGTACAGAAGAGAGGGGGACAAGACCAAAACCTCTCCCGAGGAAATTAAAGACAAAAATAAAGCAGTCCAAACATATAAAGAACAATACATGAAGGAAAAAATTAAATACGAAAGTATGGAAACCCAAAGAGATAAGCATAATAGCTAGATTTAACTGTAGAATGCATATTCCGTACCGAATAAAAAAGAATAGAGTGAGCCGCCTGAATATATAAGCCCGCCAAATGATGTGCCGGCCCATTCGCTTCCCTGAAAACATGTCCAAAAGTAATTCTCTTCCCAACCGCCTTTCTTCTAAAGGCCTGAATGCCTGCATACTTTCCTGAATCGTCCTTAAGCATAGAAATAACGCCAACCGCATTTGATTCTACCTGAAAGCCATCAAAACCCATTTCCATCGCCATAGACGCAGCACGGATAATCGTTTGAAGTTCTGCGTCTTCACTCGTTGCAGCAGTCACTTTGAAGCAAGTAGCCCAGACCAGCTCCCCTCACGATTTCGAAGGATGGCACCTCCTTTCGCCGAACCAGGTAAAAACGAGGCATCAACATTCAGTTTGAAGTTGTTAATAGGCCTTCTCCATTTAACCATCTGCCTGAGTTATGAAACCTGAAATTAGAAGGAATTAATTGTTCTTGGAATAGGAGACCATCGATTTTCCTTGATTTCAGTTTTATCAGTGTATACACGCCCACTTCTGAGTATATGCCTTAATTTGAGAAATAACGTGTTCTTCTGCGAGCTATTTAAAAAAAGAAAAAAAAATGTCAACATGGGATCTTAGTTTATGCGTCGTACGTACGTAGTATCATGCTAAAGTGGGATCTTCCTGTGCGCTTCACGTGCACTTCTTTGAATTACAAAAAAAAAAAGGATGACACCCCATCCCTGAGGGGCCCTCACCACCGACCGGACGGCACGATGGGAGGATGTAAATTGGACTATAATCACAATCTGACAGATAGAGAGTGGGGCTCTGTCCCCGGTACTTGCAGAGACCTTATGCATTTTTCAGCATAGTAACCCCTCATCGCAGTTGCCAGGATTCGAACCCGAGACCTAACCCTTGTTTCACTCCCTTGCTACCAGTTGAGCTACGTCCATTGGTACTTCTTTGAATTACAGTGAATGGGTATACGCCATAGGGACGCATGGTTCATTTGTGAAAGAAAAAGTTAACTAATCTATTTTTGAAAGAAAAATTGAAAAGAGATGAAAGTGATATAACTTCCCCTTTTTAGTTCATTTGTGATATTTTCCTCTATTGTAAGACCCGAACCGGACCGGACGGGTCGACCCGGAACCCGCCCACCCGGCTCCAAATCCGATCCGGTTGACCTTCAACCCGCTAAAGTGTTAAAACCCGGAAAAAATCGGTGACTCGGATCGAACCGGGACGGACCCAGAACCATTGAAACTCGGAAATTAGCAAAAACCCGGACTTTGGCAAGACTTGCTGCACGCGTGATTCGATCTCACAACCTCCGGGATAAAATATAGCCTCTCAACTGGTCTACAACTGGAATGTGTTGTTAATTTTTGCAATTTTGGTATTATTATACTCAGTAAGACGTACCATTATACTTTGCACTTAAGCATTAATCAATTAGTTAACTTTTTTGACCAATTAATTAGTAAATTAAACCATTAATAATAACAATAATTATGCAACGCAACGTTATACTTCCAGTTATGTTCTACTTATGTCATATTACAATTATATAAGTGAATATATATTTCTACAATATTTTTTAGATTTTATAATTGATGTCATGCTATATTTATTGTCCAATTTTGTTAAAAGACTTAAAATCAACTCTATAATAATGATTTTTTAATTGGATTATATTGTATTAGCATAATTAAATTATGAAGGATTAAGATTTTTCTATTTATGAATTTAACCTTATATATATGTATAAATATATGCGTTGACCGGGTTGACCCGCCGGGTCCGGGTTGACCCGTGACCCAGTCGCTCGGCTGGGTCGCTCACCGGTCCGGTTTTTACAACATACTAAGTAGATATTTTCCCAATATTATAGGGTATGACGGAAGACAAGCCCAATAAGAGCTTTAATTGATTTACGTATGCTTAAATATTTGAATACCTCCTAAACCCTGCAGAACGAAGTTTGAGATTACTCTGTACGCAGGCTGAAGACTAGGGTTAATCTATCCCGCGGCAGAGAAGAACCACCAGAATGGAGGCGGCGCCGATTGAATTAGTTCAATGCTACGGTCGTAAAAAGACTGCGGTTGCCGTGACTCAGTGCAAACGCGGCCGTGGACTAATCAAGATCAACGGCTCTCCAATCGAGTTGATCCAGCCAGATAATCTCCGTTACAAGGCTCTCGAGCCCATTCTCCTCCTAGGACGGAACCGTTTCGCCGGAGTCGACATGCGCATCCGCGTCAAAGGCGGAGGTCAAACTTCCCAGATCTACGCCATTCGGCAATCAATTTCAAAAGCGCTCGTCTCATTCTACCAGACAGGCCCGGTCCTGACAAATCGGAGGCCCTGTTCAAAATAAAAATCATAGACCCTAATATTTAATATAACTAAGTACTAATAAAAATAAAATAAAAGGTAATCTTGAAAGCATCGTTTACTTCTAAAGCCAATTGGTTTAGTCTCTTTTGTTATAATTTTTTCTAAAGGCTCTTTCTTAGATAGAATCAACTCTTAGATTCTTTTTTTCTTATTACTTCTTCCATATCCGGAATCATATTTTCTGTTTCTAGAAGGCAATATAAATTTCTAACCTACCTATAATTTACTCCGTATAAGATACCAGAGAATCCAAAATTAAAAATTAAAAGATAATATAATCAATTAAAGGAAACATCAGAACACAAACACCTGAAACCGGTGAAAGTATGAAAGCAGTGAAACAGAATGAAATGCGAAGAATGAAGTCGCCGGCTAGTAGCTTAATCCCTGTGGCACTCGCTTCTGAAAATTGGAATCTGGTCGGTGGCCGCTTGACTAGTTGCTAACACCCTTCGCAAGTCGCAAGGTCAGATCGAAGTTGTTGCGGCCTTCGCTTCTGGAAACTAGAATCTGGCCACTTCTTGACTGAAGAATTACTAGCAGTGTTCTCCGGAAGGGATTAAAGAGATATGAATTATTTACATTATAATCCGAATTGTATAAGAATAAATTTCATAGTTTCTGTAGCCGCTCGAATCATCATCATGTAGCAGTGTCTCCTTGAAAATTGATTTGTCGCTTCGATTCTCTAGCCGTTTAAGTCTCCAAAAAATCACTGAAGGCTATCCATCCGTGTAAGCGATTAAGAGACGTCAGATGAGGAACAATGAGGCGCAGGCTTTCTCCAATAGGGCTGGATTTCGGATATTTTTTTGCTAATGGGCCTAGGTATACTACTAGGCTAATAAAAAATGGTGGCCCTCCCAAAATTGGAGGCCCTGTGCAGTTGCACCAATTGCACCTGGGCCGGGCCGGGCCTGCTACCAGAAGTACATGGATGAGCAATCGAAGAAGGATATCAAGGATATCCTTGTTGGATATGACAGAACATTGCTGGTGGCCGATCCAAGGCGGTCTGAACCGAAGAAGGCCGGAGGTCCCGGTGCTCGTGCAAGGTACCAGAAATCATACCGGTGATCGCTCATGAGTTCTTCTGACGAAAGTGTTGACATTTTTCAGATTTAATTAGATAGTATTACTCTGCTTCTTAAATAGTTACACTTTCCCTCTACAACTAGATAGTATTACTCTGATTTAATTAGATAGTATTACATTTTTCAGATTTAATTAGATAGTATTACTCTGATTTTTTTCATCGACATTGACACTTCGATGAGAGTTAATTAGATTTTATTTTTGAGTGATGCGAGTTAATTAGATTGGTCAAGAGGTTAAAGTTTGATTTTTGAGTGATGCAAGTTCGATTTTTTAATGCATCGTATGTTAACAGGATGGTTAGAGCTTCAGATTTCCCCATTCTCTTTACTTTTGCTTGGTTTACGGCATCATCAATCCATTAATTGCATTCCTCAATGTCATCTAGACATACTTTCATTTTCTTAAATTAAAAAATGGATCTTAAAATTTGGTGGTCATTCATTTTTTTCGAGTGCAACTTTGTTCTTTTCTTGGACCTGAAATTTAGAGATAATAAGAGCCCATTTGGTAAACTCTTTTTTCGGCTAATCATTTTATCAGCCAACCTTTTAACTAAATACATGATTTTTTATTTCACGCCCTGAATTGTGTAATAATAAGAAAAATGTTAGTTACTTTTCTGGTTGTATTGACTTTTCTGACTGTATCGGCTGAAGTTACTGCAGATGATCATTTTAGCTATTTTTTATAAAATTTTTTCTTTATTTTATTAGGAAAATATATTTTAAATATATTTTTTCATAAATCAGCAGAATCAGCCAATACAACTACTTCAACCAGAAATTCATAAATTTTATTAAATTTCAGTGTTACCAAATGAGATTTAAATTAGTTAATCAATTATTTTTTATAGAAATAAATACACTTGGTTGAGAATTTACATTTTCAAACACACTCCCATCTTTTTCACATCCGGATGCATTACATGCGTACATGTTAAACTGAAGATCCAAACGGCAAGATGTTATAAAGTGGGAGAACAAGAGCCATTTGAAAGCCACCAATCAGTTACATTTACCAAATTTCGTTAAACACATTAAGTTTCATGCTTATTTCGCAAAATCAGCATTATTACGTAGTATTAATTTTATTAAACTTGAATACCTAATTAAGTTTCTATTGTTTACCAAGGATTTGTTTTTGTAAGTTGTTGATTATCATCTTAGTCTAAAGTTGCCTCTTACACATTCACCAACTCCGTGAGTAACATCTTCTCCACACACTTGATAAATTTTTCATATACTTTCGCATCATCGAAAACTTGCCGCGAATTGGGATACATGAATTACGGATTTTGATGATATCTAGCGGCATGTAACGGAGAGTGAATGTTCTTATCGACAATTGCTCATAGGGCTTGCATTTCTCCTCTCCCTCCAAATTTGTTTTTAATTCCAAGTTTTGCTTTTTCCATAGCTTCATAAAAATGAATCCTATGGAGGTAAATCTTCGTATGCAATTCTTAAAACCTTCACAAGAGGTAAATAAACCTTCATCACAAAAGCAACATTTCCTCAAAATGTTTGGCGGTAAACTTCATACCACTTTGGTGAAGCAATCATCTGCCTTGAAGTAGAGTCAGTAAGTTAGTTGCAAATCTTGTCACCGTTGGTTTCACTAACACCCCTGTTAGTGAATTCTTTCATCATGTAAAAAAACACAAGAGTGTGATTATAAACGTAGGTAATAATACATTGGACCGTGGCCAAGTACCTTATGGTCTGATGACTTCACTGTGACACTTCCAAAGAGGAAGTCACAAGTTCGAATCTCATCCAGTTCAAGGATGTTGGCCTTAAAAGAAGAGATACTATAATAGATTAGAAAGTTTTGCCCAAAAAAAATACATTGGACTGTCTTGACTGTTTTTGCTACTATTGGAATAATCTTCTTGAAAATATCTTCAAGAGTACGATCAAAAGAGTGTGTAGCACAATCATTTGTGAAGATATGCGGGTCCCTTTGTTCAATCTTCACATTTGCTAACCCATAATTTTTTAACATATCACAACATGTATGACACTTTTTGGACCGATTTATTGAATCCGTTCATCAAACAATTTCAAATGAGCTTCATCAGTCTTCTTATAAGATGACAACATCAATGAATTACATGAAAAAATTCCCCTTGATAGAGTTGATACAAAAGTTTACAAAATTTCTGTGTGTTTTATCTTGCCAACCATGAGACATTATGGTGCACCCATCCATCTCCCAGTTTTTTTTCCCTTACCACTACATCTCTTTTCTTCACCTCTTTACGCCAATGTTTGCCCTCACCTCTTGATATGTAAGCACTTTAAACCCAGCCCCAAACATACATATCTCTTTTAGTGTTTCTTTAAACAATGGGTTATGAATCGTATTAAATGGGATGCAATTTCTATACATCCATAAACATAAGCTCTGAGCATATGCTTCTCGCTCTTTCATTTTCATCTTGGATGGGGTAGTAGATTGTATCAACTCTCCCTTCTTCTGCTTCTTTGATAGATAAACAAAATTCTCCCTAAGAGACCAACTTATCTCAATGTCATCATCTTCATCGTCACGCTCACCATTAGACTCAGACTGCCCTCTAGTGTTTGTACCTTGTAATATGTTTTCAAGTACATTTGTATTGGAGTGTGAACTAGCTTCTTTCACAACCAACGCTAGAAGGATTGCCTTGTTTATCTGCAGGGATTAAGTCGCATTTCCTAATGTGACGAGACTCCATATCTTTTGACATCTCGGCCAAAGTATGCAATACTCAAATTAAATGATTGAATTGTATTTACTTTTCTAGTTGGTTTGATTGAAGTGCACTGTTTTAATTTTGTCATATAGCTTTGCATTCTGTTTTAATTTTGTTCATCATTTAGTCATTTAAATCATGATTTCATCTGATTCAACTAATTTATGTAAAAATTAACTTGTGGCCTTTCCCTTCTTAGGGTTTCCGCTGATTTGGTGCGGATAAACTTCTCTGCCATTTGAGTGTGGTATTCTCCGGCAACTAGCAGCTCAGCATGGCATCAGGTAGATCCCAAATGCAAGATACCGAGGGACGGCAAGAGAAATATGGTGTTGATCCATCGACGGAGGGAAGCAGACAGATGGAGAAGCTTATCGATCAGTACGATGGGCTGGGATTGGGTCCAGAGGTGGATGAATTGCTCCTGGATGATGACGTTGAAGGCAGATCCGAGGCCACAGGCGGGGATTGTATGGCTCTCGGCTGGGCAAAAAACGGGGAAGAGGCGGGATGGAACAACCAGGTCTGCCAAAACCATGAAGATCTGGTACTTTCTGCTGGTTGAGGAACATTTAAACTTTAATTTTGCTATTTTTATTTTTGGTTTTTGTTACAAACTACATGTGGTTTTGTTTGTTTTTGTTTTCAATAACGTTAAAACTCTAGAACATAAGACTGGTGATGGGGATGAGTCTAGTTTGCCAGTCATTGGCTCAAGTAAGCCCAATTCAGGATCAACAAATCTGGTTGCTTCTTTCGAGGTGACAGTGGGCTCTTTGTCCGTTTGTACCCTGCTTACGTTCTTTCTTATTAATATAAGTCACATTCTTCCAAAAAAACTAAAATATGTGTTGTCATAAATCCAAGTTTAATTGATGGTGCCTATTAGTTTGCCCTCATGTATTTATTAGTCATTGAGATAAACATCAAAGATGTATTAACTGAGTTATAATATGTTTGTAAGTGGAACAAACTGAAATGTATTTCAATGGCTTATGCAATTCAGGCATATGATACACTTTAGACATTTCAACCACAATATCTATAATTTCATCACATTTAAGAGATTAAATGCCCGTTTGATAATTCTGTATTTCGGCTTATCAGACTTATCAGCCAACTTTTTCCCAAATACGTAAATTTTGATTTCGCGCGCTGGATTGTGTAATAATAAGAAAAGGTAAGGTTAAAATTGATTTTGTGGCTGTATTGGTTGAGGTTACTCTAGATGATCATTTAGCTATTTTTTCATACTTCCTTCATTCTTTTTTAATTGCAACAGTCAACGTTTCACATTTGCCAATGCACAAGTTTGACCATTAGTATACTATCTATTTTATTTCTTATTAGTAAAAAATTCATATTTTGAAAATTTAGAGTGAGAAAAATTTAACAATTTTTTTAAAAAAATTAATTTATAATACATTAATAAATAAAATATAGTCAAAGTAGAATATGTGAATCGTGCAAAAAGTCCAGTGTTGCAATTAAAAGAGAACGGAGGTAGTATAATTTTTTCTTATTTTATTGACAAAATATATTTTAAATAATTTTCAGTGTTACTAAACAGGCTCTAAGTACAAATTACAATTACCAAATGGACTTCTATAAATGTAAGAGCTTTTAACACTCCAATAAATAATATAGTCGTAATAACAATAATAGTTGCGCCTCTTGAAATTTTGTCAACTTTGTTTTTGTAGTTTTGAAAAGTTTGTTACTTTCTTTATAAAGTAGATAATTTGTGATTCTTATTATTACTCGCTCACCTACACAAATCTATGTCACATAATTTGTGTATTACTATTTTATGTCTTGATCAACCTGAGTAGAATTAGATAAGAAACACTTATTTTGAATGAAGTTATTATGCATATTTAAATATTTATTTGCATTATTAGAAGACCTTTAATAGTCAACTTAAATAACCCAATAGTTTCATGGTCAAAGGCACATCCCTCGTGCGATCCTTCATTTCCACTTCTCTTCTTGCCTCCATCACACCTTTATGTCCTTTTATTTTTCTCCTGCTCTTCTACTCATTAGCTCATATTTAGCTTATGGTGGAAGACCCTCAAGACACCCCACAATAGAAACATTTGAGAGGGAACACTATTCAAAAAAGTATTTTTATTTTATATACTCCATCCGCTCTTTAAAATCTTGCAATCTTTGATTTTTTTGGTCAATCAAGTTAAACTTTGACCAATGATATACTTTTACAAGAAATTTTTTACAAAGTTTAAAATAAAAATGATATAGTATATGAAAATGTTCTTTGTTGAATATACTTTCATAAAAATATAAAATATATAACTTTCACTATGTATCAATCAAAATCAATGTATAGTGTTTCACCATTAACTTGAAAATAATATTGATCACAAAGGCTATCTGCATCCATGTGTTATCTAAAACTTAAATATGGATTCCGTCAATATAAAAACTGTGTATAAATCTGCCAATGCCATTTTTCTTGTATTCCAGCACCGTTAGTAAAATACACTCTACATATTTTTATACACTTCATTTTAGCAAAACATTAATTAATTTTATAAACAATGTTGTTCTTTGATTTTTTCCCTCAATAAATATGAAATTAAAAAATGCACATTTCGATGACAAAAAATAAAATTTTCATTAATTTTCTATTTTCTATTTTTCAGTTAATAAAATACAAAAAGGGTTTGAGTAAAATATGGTTATTTCTGAAAGCACCATTAATTAAAAATCTGTGTTTCATGTACTTTTTAGCTTACAGTCTTTATAATACCCAACCCAACTACTCTAAATTACGTCCATTTGGATGTTTGTGTTACCCATGGCTTCGTCCGTACAATACATCCAAACTTCAACCTTGGTCCAAGCCGTGTACGTTTGTTGGTCACTCAACCTCCCAAAGTGCATATCTATGTCTCGACACTACCAGTGATCGTGTATTTGTGAGTCGCCATGTCCGGTTTGCTAATGATATTTTTCCGTTTGCTCAAAATAATACTCCTACGAAACGACCTCCTAATTTGACGTGCATGGGCATGCAATCCCCTCTATCTATTGAGTCCACCTCTTCCCACTTACCCGGCCAACTTCTTCCTATTCTCTCTCCCCCAAGTCAAAGTTTATCTCTTACTCCCCACCCAATAACCATTACTCCTCCTGCCACTCAACCACTTTCATCTTTATCCCCACCCCACCGAACTAATCCCAACTCCACTCACACAGATACTATCCCTTCATCCACTCAAATCATATCTGTCACCTCATCCCCTCCCATAACACCCACCACCAAATATTCTCATTCTACCCCACTTAACTCACAGCCTTTCACCACGTCAAACCCATCTCCAGACTCAACTGTGTCTATAACCCCTCCAGTTCGTCCAATGTGTCAACGTAAACCCAATCCTAAATATTTAGGCGGTTCGTTTGTCAACTTTACTACTACGCATCCAATTCAACCTGTTCTTGAACTTAATAGTGTGAAGCAGGCCTTGAGTGATACGCAATGGAAACTTGCTATGGATTCCGAAATGGAGGCACTTCGTCGCAATTCAACCTGGACCCTTGTCCCACCTTCCGGTCACACTCCTATCACTTGCAAATGGTTATTTCGGGTCAAACGAAAATGCCGACGGGGCGGTTGCTGGATTCAAAGCCCGATTAGTAGCACGTGGATTTCTTCAGCAATCTGGCCGAGACTACTTTGAGACCTTCAGTCCGGTCACCAAACCGGCTACTATCCGGATAATCCTCACTATTGCTCTTGCTCGGAACTGGTCACTTCGACAAATGGACGTCAATAATGCGTTTTTACACGGCTCTCTCTCTGAAGAGGTATTCATGACACAACCTTCCGGCTTCAAGGACCAAGCTCATCCCACATATCTCTGCAAACTTCAAAAAGCCTTATACGGCCTAAAGCAGGCCCCACGGGCGTGGTATATGGAACTCACACAGTTCTTTCTTTCGGTGGGCTTTCGGAAATCCCAGGCAGATGCCTCTCTTTTCTTCTACTCCCATGACGGCGTTCTCCTATACTTTATGGTGTATGTCGACGACATCGTACTAACGGGCAATAATCCTACTACTATTGACAGGTTTGTCCTTCAACTCACGACCAAATTTTCTGTCAAAGACCTTGGAATGTTGCATCATTTTTTGGGAATTGAAGTCATTCTCACACATCAAGGTCTATTTCTCTCTCAGCGGCAGTATATTTTACATATCTTGGAATCTTGTGATATGCAAGGAGCTAATGTTGCAGTAACTCCCATGAACTCCTCCTATTTAAATTCCAACACAGGCCCGATTATGCAAGATCCCAGTCTCTACCGTCGAGCACTCGGTCTCTTGCAATACTTGTCCTTCACAAGACCGGACATTTCGTATGCAGTCAACCGCCTCTCCCAGCACATGCACAGCCCAACTTTAGACCATTGGCAGACAGTCAAACGTATCCTTCACTATTTAAAGGGTACCATTCATCATGGACTATTTCTTCGTCATGATCCCCGTCTTACACTCACAACATTTTCTGATTCTGATTGGGGCGGTATTCGAGACAGGGGACGATCAACGACAGCTTATGTTCTCTATTTAGGTCCTAATGTCATCTCCTGGAAGTCTGCTAAACAGAAGAGTGTCTCACGCTCCTCCACCGAGGCAAAATACCGAGCGGTTGCTAATGCCAGTGCAGAGCTACTCTGGGTTCGTAACATTTTATCTGAGTTAGGCATCTCTTTGCCAAGGCCGCCTCATCTCTATTGTGATAATCAAGGGGCCACATATGTTTGTACTAATCTGGTGTTTCACTCTCGCGTGAAACATTTGGCCCTTGACTATTTCTTTGTTCGGGAGCTTGTTGAAGAACGTAAACTCACTGTTAGTCATATTTCCACCAAACTTCAGATTGCTGATATTCTTACCAAGGCATTTCCCACGACATCGTTTGAAAAATTCCGGTTCAAGATGGGAGTTTCCAATGGCACCTCCATCTTGTGGGGGCATATAAACACATAATTAATATTGTTATATTATTTATTAATTAATGTACATGCACGTATGTTGTAGTATATATAGTACATATCCTGTAGTACATATGGTTAGCAATTTCTATCCCTATTAGTGTGCATGTAGTTGAGATGAGTTCTCATCTCAAACGTACGTAGTTCATATGTATATATACGACAAGTGTAAATCATTTCATATCAATTGAATATATCTTCCAGTTCATAATTCTTCAGTTTACAGAGGAAAAGTTTCAAGCAAAAGAGTTCGTAGGTTCTTCTCACACTTCGTACTCTAGTAGGTCTTCTTATATTAATATAATAATGAATAGAATAAGAACTGAACGGATGGTGGTTTAATTTGCACCTTACAAAACTTAACTGTGCCGTCAAATAATTAAACTCATGTTACAAATTTAAGATAAATAATTTATTTGAAATACATTAATTTTCCAACAATCCCCCACATATTTCAAATAAACATTTTACAAATTTGAAAACATTTTAAGAAAATATGTTGGATTAAAGGAATGAGACTTTAAGTCTGGTGTCCGTAGGCTATGAAATAAACCGAGACGATTAAGTCTTTATAAACCGAGCTTTTGGTGAAACATATAATTTCTATGAACCAAGAAGCTACTATGGTAAATCAGGGTCTTAATGATCATGTCTCACCCCACACTCTTCCTCGCGTTAACGCCGTGGTGCGCATTTCGGCCGTGCGCGTGCCTGATGTTTGTGAGTGCTCTAGAAGGGTTCTGCACTTAACACACCACTCGTAAGGGCTATGAAAATCATTAAGAGTTTTAGCTCAACCTCACAAAG